AAGAGGAGAAGAGAGAGAAGAGACACACACACACACAGAAGATGGGAGAAGAGAGAGGAGGAAGAGAAGAGAACACGAAGAGAACACACACACCATCAGAGAGAAGACTAACACAGAGAGAGAGGAGGAGAGAGAGAGAAAGACTCGAGGCGAGAGAGAGAGAGAAGAAGAGAGATATGAGAAAGAAGAGAGAGAGATAGAGAGAGAGAGGAGAGAGAAGAGAGATAGAGAGAGAGCCATAAGTTACGTAGCCAGCAGCACCATTAATATCATCGTTACTACCTTTATGATTTGCATGACGTTATCTAGCTTCTTTCCGTCGCACGAATAACGGCTCGCTTAATCATACGCTGGGAGAACTTTCATTGCCTGTCTCCCTCTTCCCCCCGCTGACATACACACACACACACACACACACACACACACACAACACACACACAACACACACACACACACCACACACACACACACAACTACACACACACACACACAACACACAAACACACACACATACACACAACACACACCACACACAACACACATCACACACACACACATCCACACACAACACACACACACACCACACACACCACACACACATCACACACACACACACACACACAACACACACACAACACACCACACACACACACACACACACACACACACACACCACACACACACACACACACACAGTACGCGCCTTCGGAGCATGCGCATGGGTGGCATGGCATCTGTGCGCGCGACCACCAAGCGGCAGCAGTAGCCGCAGCAAGAGCAGCAGCAATAGCAGCGGTGGTTGCTAATCTGAGTCGATTTGTCCATCACAAAATTCGTATAACGTGGCGATCCGAGGGATTTATCGCAGCGCTGCTGCGGCTCTACACAGAGACTGCGCGATGTCCATGGTAGGGCATGGGACACGTGCCGACGATCATCGTCCCCATCACCGTCCTCGCCGCGACTTGCTCGTAGTCACGTGCCGTACAGATGCGGGCTACAGTGCGCCGACTGTGTCGTGTGTCACATAGCAGCGACAGCGTGCGGCTGTGATGGAGAGCAGGGGTTAACATGTGAGCAATGTACACCGCCGTGTCGTCTTTGTGTGTTGTCACACAGCAGTAAACACGTGTCATGCACGTCGCCGTCTCGTCTTTGTGGGTTGTCACACAGCTGTAAACACGTGCATGTACGTCGCCGTGTCGTGTTCGTGTGTTGTCACACAGCAGTAAACACGTGTCATGCACGTCGCCGTGTCGTGTTCGTGTGTTGTCACACAGCAGTAAACACGTGTCATGCACGTCGCCGTGTCGTCTTCGTGTGTTGTCACACGGCCAGCACCAGGATATAACACGCTCCAATCACTTTTATGCGTCGTCTGTGGTGTAGTGCGTTACACGGCTACAACCAGGATGTAACACGTACCGTGCCGTGTATAGATACCGCGCGTTGTTGCACGGTCACCAATAGGATATAGCGGATGCGATGCGCGTTGCCGTGTAGACGGTCACACGGCGCGTGCGAGGCGTCGCCCTACAGCGTCCGGGCTTCAGTATGAAGAAGCAGAACGTGAGAACAGTGACGCTCATTGTGTGCACGCTCACCTACCTGCTCGTCGGCGCCGCCGTCTTCGACGCACTCGAGTCGACGAACGAGCAGCGCGAGTACGCGCTGCTCGTCGAGATCGAAACCGAGTTCATAGCGCGCTACAACGTCAGCGAGGCCGACTACAAGACACTGGAGATCGTCATCATGTCGCTGATACCGTTCAACGCCGGCATTCACTGGAAGTTTTCCGGTGCCTTCTACTTCGCGACGACCGTCATCACGACGATTGGTAAGAGGAGGGGGTAGGGGGTAGGAGCGTGGGAGGAAAGAGTCGGGGCGTGCAAAGAGGAGGAGGTGGGGCTGCAGGTGGGGGAGGAATGGGTCGGGACATGCAAAGAGGAGGAGGTGGGCGGTGGGGGAGAGTGGTCCGTGGCGTGCAAAAGGAGGAAAGTGCGTGGCGACTGGGGGGGGAGAATGGTCGGGGCGTGCAAAAGAAGAGGAGGGGGGCTGGGGTGGGGAGGAATGGGTCAGGGCGTGCAAAGAGGAGGAGGTGGGGCTGGGGTGAGGAAGAAATGGGTCGGAGCGTGCAGAGAGGAGGAGGTGGGGCTGGGGTGGGGGAGGAATGGGTCTGGCGTGCAAAGAGGAGGAGGTGGGGCTGCGGGTGGGGAAGGAATAGGTCGGGGCGTGCAAAAAAGAGGAGGTGGGGCTGCGGGTGGGGAAGGAATGGGTCGAGGCGTGC